TCCAACAGCAGGATTCCCCACATAAAAAACCCACATTAAATAAACAGACCGACCCAAACTCTGTAAAAGCTTTAAGAATCATGGAATTCCCACATTTCTACCAAATTAATTGCTTCTGCAAGCAGTCTCCTTTATATAAAACACTAACTCCATGAAAAGCTTTGCATCTGAGTGCATGTTACAGTGCTGCAGAGCTGCAAGTTACCTGCAGAGTGCAAGGAGGCTTTATAATGTATTTTTTCAAACAGCAAAAGACAGCTAACATAAAAATCAAACTTCAAAGCTACAGACTAGTAAAAGCACTTACTTCTAGAATTGTTTTTGCAAAGAGGGCCACAGATGGATGAAAATGTTCAGAAAGCTGAAAAACATGAAAAATTTATTTCTACTTTAAAAACAAACTCAATCATTACTCATATTGATGTACCAGACTCCTGACAACACCATATGTCCTAAGACCACTCTGTAACTCACCAAATAACACACAGAGGCATGTAGTTGCACAAGGTTTATGTCCTTGAACAACCAAAGAACTTCAAGTTCTAATCTTCTTTTTGCATTAACTAAACACATTCTCACTTATCATTTTATTTAATCCAACCTAAAAAGCTTTATAGATACAAAGCTAAGATCCAAAAGTAAAAAATATTATTATTGTCCAAACCTCCAATTCAAAATTCATATTCTCTAATCTGGAATATCAGCACTGCATGTAACATATACCAGCTTGAAGGTGAACAATGTGTCACCTTTAACCTTTCTGTTACATTACTCAGGTAGCTACTCCAATAATAACCAATTTTATTTTTTCTCTCAGTATAAGGGCCGCACTAAGAAACACAATAATCAGCAACATGAGAATGCCTTACCTTCTTCAGTTCCCAAAGGCTTGTACTTTCAGCACCACAGTATAAAGGACTTCGGTGCATAGGATCATACAAAGCTCCACTCTTCCTGCCTGAAGGGTGGAGGAGATGAATACAACTTAAATGTCCTGAGGCAATTTTAAGAAAGTATTATTTTCATCTCACCATGACAGTAATGCTGCCCATCATTCTTAGCTGGACAGGCCACAGATTCAGTCAGGAGCACATAAAGATTATATCCGGCTGCCCTTTTCCCAGTGTGATCAGGTGCACAGGTGAGTTCCCACATACTTCGAAAGAAGCTCCTGAAAACCCTTGCTCTGTTCCAAAAGGTCCCCAGGAAAGAGTAAAACTAGAAGCAGGTTCAAAGCTAGCCAAACTGTTCTAGCAAGCTTCACAAGCAAATGAGGACTTACATGTCCTCCTTTGGCTACATTGCTCTGAAGGTGTTTGAACTTGGAAGCAAAAAATCCTGAGCCATTTGCTTAGGCACAAATGCAATAAGCTGCATAAAGTGAAATACACCAGCAGATTTATACAATCTCTTCATCACTGCCGAGCTAACAGATAAAGAAAAATTATTCTGAGTGACTGCTTTGAATCAAACTTCAATTTGAAAAACTAAAATATTGTTGTAATCACTTAATTTTACAAGTCTTGATCAACATATCACTGTTACAGAATGTTAGGAATTAAATGAATTACATTTTCTTGCTCATTTACCTCCCCTATTCAGATGATGCACCCACGAGGCTGTTGAATTTGAATCATTTGTTTTAGCAGAATTTTCCGTTGTGCTCCTCTCTTCACTTTCTACTTCTTTGTCTGCATCCACAATTTTTTCCTCATCTTCTTCAGCCTCTTCTTGATCTTTAAAGCACTCTTCATCATCTGACTCCTAAACAACAAAAAATGTTAGCAAACTGCTTTTCCTTTCCAGTTTTATCCTGACTTTTTAGAAAAACACACCTACAGTTCTTAAGAATCTACTTACAAAAATATAAACAAATGATGGCCGATGTTTAAGCAATACAGACTTTTTTGTCTTGACACAGGACTTAAAATTGAACTTCACAGTTTACATCAAACAAGTGTAATAGTCCCTCCCTGCCATAAAAAAGAAAACAAAAAATCCAGTCTTGCCTATCTATTCTTCAGACTACAGATGGAAGAAATAAACAGGCCATGTCTTGACAAAGCTTTCGGGAGAGGAATATTCACCTGCTTACTTATACAGCATTTAGCAAAATAATCTTCTCTCCATGAATGAAGTCCACAGGACCCACTAGAACACTTAAAACACCTCCATCGGTGCAGGTTTTTAATGTAGTTGCAATTGCTCAAGTGCTTTCTCCCATACTATATTAGCAAACCCTCAGGTTAGTAACAAATAGATATGGGAAAGGTGCTTATGAAACTAGTGCTTATTGAAGAAACGAGATAAAGAAATCATCTTATACCACATGATCCTGCAACTGGACCCTTAACTCTGGTTTTACTTTCAGAAGCTCAGACAGAAGGTACAGGGTTCCACAAATGAAGGGTGGCATTTGTCCACAAGTGACTTGAAGTAACCTCTTCACAAAGGCCTTCACGCGCCGTAACACTACATCTGCCTTCAGAGATTTATAGATGAGATTAAGAAACATGGATGGCTTTGAGCAGGTTGCTAAAGAAGGATCTAGAAGCTTCCTGTAGAACACACAGGAGAAAATATTGCTGATTGTTATAATACACATAGGAGAACAATTGCTATTAACAATCATCTACATTTTCCAGAGTGCCATCTAAAAAGATCAGTGACAGCTCGTTCCCCAACACACAAAACCATTATGATCAACCCTGAACTGACAACAAAACAGAAGCCTGTAAGGATCCTACAAAAAGTCTAAAAAATCATCTGGGACAAAAAAATAGAGATACTTTCATAACATAAGGCTTTTCAAACACACAAATTAAAGCATCTAAAGAATTTGTTAACGTATTTCCCTGCCCCCATACAAAAAAAAAAAAAAAAAAAAAACCTGTAAAAGTGATTTCAGAAGCAGTAGTTATCTATTAATTTCAAATAATATCTGGAATTAAAACATGCCTCCAGAAAACAGTGCAAAGGATGAAATGCATGTGTTGTGTTCTTAAGACCTATCATCATTTGCTTTATCCCCATGTTAAGTCAAAGAAATCACATGCATTTTCTTCTGGAATTTTTAGCCAATGAAATACAAAACTCTCAAGATCTTAAAAGCAAAATAAGTGTTTCTACAACTTTAAATTAATGGCAACTACCTCATAACATGAAATTTACATAAAAAATGCAAACCCAACACTTACTTGTACAGTGCTGCATAGTACCTGTCCGATACAGTCTGCTGAGAGTCCATCACTTGAAACAGTAACATCAGGGCCTGAACACTGGTACTGAAGTTCACAAGATGCAGAACTTTAAACAATGTGTCCAGCTGTTCTTTCACTTTCTCATCACCAGTCTCAGCATAAGGGTAAGCTCTGTTCACCCCACAAAGAAGAGCACTGAGCATTTTGGATTCTACGTCTTTTTTCTTAATGCAGTTCCGAAAAAAGCCTAAGTACAATGTTATCAGTTTGTTGGCCAATGCATTTTCTTCATGACTGAGGACTATCTGATTTAGAAAGCAAATGGCATAATATTGAGTTTTCACATTAATGTTTGACCGGTACAAAAGCCTCTCCACTTCACTGCACACTACTCCCTTCATATTTGGATGTTTGTGAAGTAACGTCTCTAGAAGATAAGAGGCTTTGGTGGCGATTTTGTTCTGAGGGTCTCCCAGTTTATTTACCAGCTGAACAAGGAGAACTTTCTCCTGCTCAGGCTTGTTACAGAGAAGCTCGTGGGCAACTGCCAGCGCTCGGGATTTTGTTGCTGTCAGAGGATCATGACTCAGTGCTTCTAATACTTGCACAAATTCTGCCACCTGCAGTTTCAGGTGATGCTCAAAGTACCATAGTATCAACCGTCTGTCTCTTGAATCCCTGTTGCCACTCGACATCTTCTCTATGTTGTTAAATGGTCGCTGTGAGAAAGACCATAATTTTCGATTGTCTGGTAAGAGATCTGAAACGAGAAGCTCCTTGAAAGTATCCAAGGCCATCAGGCTCTGATGCCTGCTGCCCTTTTTCTTTATGAGGTTTACCAAGTTCTCAACAAACTGGAGACTGTGGACAGCACTGTCCTGAATGAGAAGGGTCATTGCTGCCATCCTGTCAGCCAAAGTACCCGAGGACACAACAGTTTTCATCCACGCTGAAGAGGCTCCCTTCTGATAATCAGTTTTATTCTTATACAGGTCTATCTCATGTTGGTAGAGCTTTTGGGCCAAGGCCTTATACTTGGACAGAAGCGTCTGATTTTGTGGCTCTGAAGAGAATTCGTTGGTGTATTCTAGATCATACCATTTGACCCCTGGTTTGACCAGTATCACTTGCCTGGCATGAAATTCAAAATCTTCCAGCCTCTCTTTTGGTGCTGAAAGGTGCTGGTCCTGATCACTGCCAGCTTGCTTCTTCCTGTCTTTCACACCGCTTGCCTTTTCCTTGACCTTCTTTAGTTTTTTCCCTTCTAACGATGAAGGATTAGTTTCTTTCTTGTTTTTCTCTTTCTTTGGGGGCTTTTCTTTCTCCTCACTCCCACCGTCGTCCTCCTCGTCCCCTTCCACCACCAGGCAACTTCTCGCATACTTGCTGAGCCCCAGGGAGCTGACGAAGGCCTCCAGCTCCCCTTCTTTCAGGTCATCGATCGCGTCCTTCTTGCCGCCGTCCACCATTTCCTCTGGCTCGTCCACAGCGCACAGCATCACGTAATCTTGCTGCGGGAAGCAGCGCACAGCCGTTACAAGCGGACCCGGTGCGAGGCCACGAACTCCCAATTAATTCCACACACCCCCCCAACCCCTCACACCCCACAAGGGCCGGGCCCGGCCCGTGGACTCCGGCTGTCACATGCTCCCGCTCCCGCTCCCATTCCCGCCCCCCCCAGTTACCTTGGTGCCACCGAGGCGCAGCACCTCGTCCAGCGTGAACCCTTCGGCATCTCCATCTCCT